GACAAACCAAATGATAAAGATCAGAAGTTTATGTTTGTGAGTGGTTTTGGCCTGGTCACATGAATATACGTGACACAAAGGTGTTTAACTAGACCGGGCGGGATTCATCTTATGTCCTTTAAATGGCTGTTACAGCAATATTTGATAGAGCTTTTTTTAAAGCTTTCTTTTCTCTTTCATAATTAATGAAAGGAGGAACAAGGAAGAGGGTATATTTAGCAGTCTCGCCAATGCTTATAGTCTAAACTATGGCTAATAAGACACAAGATGAAGATTGACCCGAAACAACTGCATTTCAATCTTGATTAAGAATAAACTAGACAGATTAAATTAGCCCAAACTCGACATTAAAAGTGCATTAATTTTTGTTTGTGTCTACGGATGGATAGCAAATAATTTAGCCCCAAACACAACGAGCAAGTACTAGACATTTTGCACCGTTGAACAATTACTTTACATTAACAACAAATTCACACACACACCTACTTTGAATTAAAATATAGTTTGTATAAAAGGTACATAACCTTAATCTCTATAAAATGAGATTTTGGTCAGCTATTAGAACCAGGAGGTAATAGCTCCTGGTTCTATGACTACGAAGTGCTAACTACGAAGCACTGGTTCGTAGTTCAACAAATCGATTCAAACGGATGTACATTTTGTGTTTGATAATATCCATAAAACTGAGGATTTAAAGTAAGAACAAAGATAAAGAGTGGAAAGATTTATATCTGAGGTGGTAGACATATTGGCCATGCTTCCTACACGTCACTGCCAAACAGCAGAAATTGGTTAAAGCAAAATGGTTCACGCCCACTGTCAAACAGAACTGGCTGATGCATCAGGCTAAAAATTACCAAAGAAAGTATGTGAAACTCGCAGGTGGTTCATTGTCGATGTTTTGACCGGTCACAACGGTCACAAGACAATCAATAAAACTACTCATAAAGCTGTTTATCATAAAATTCCAAATATGAAAGCAATAACAAAATGGTGGGAGGAGTGGCATGGTCCAGTTGTGCCAAAAGAACAAAGTCAAAAGTATATTAAAAGCGCTCAAAGCTACAACAGAAGGAATGTGACAATAATATACATGGTCGAACCCTGAGAAAAGTATATTTTGAGATGATGTCCCCTTTAAGTGTTGTTTGTAAAAGGCTTCAGAAATATAGCAGTGTTTGTGATCACTGTGAATGTAGACATTATCAAAGAAAGAAATGTGATAATGGAAGTCACGCCTCGGTGCACCTCGAGCATATGTTTTTCTTATTTTACACAAAAACAATCATGTCCGTGACGAAGGGATGAAGCTGTCACTTTCTCTAATCACGCCACGCCGACCGCATTCACGCCGTACTTTGTAATTACGGCACAAGCATCAATTAGCTTCTATACTTTGTTCTTTACTATATTCTAAAGTCTATGTTGAAGGGATGGATGTAGATTACTGAAAGTTTACGCAAAATGGGGCTTCTTTTTTGTCAAATACGAGCACTACGGTTATATGGACTATGCTTCACAATCAACTTTATTCAGGCTTTTTCCACAAATGTTCACACCTCTCTCCTCTCAGTAAACATGCATGTTAAGACCGCTCTTCTCTCAGTATACATGCAGACATCTCCTTTCTCAGTATACATGAAGGTTCCGAAATCTCTTGTCTCAGTATACATGCAGACTCAGACCACTCTTGTCTCAGTATTGTTACATGGTGGAAAGGAAGGCGGACCCAAAATTCAATACTGCAAAAAACACAATTTAATAACCAAGAATCCAAAAATCAAAAACTGTATAAACACAGGAACTGAAGACGAACCAAGAACAAACAATCAATGGACTGACAACAAGAGTGAAAGAGCACAAGGAATTTAACTGAGAGACACAGGTGAAACAAATCAGGGCAGGGTAGGCAATCAACAGAACAGGAAGTAAAACTCTAAAAAGACACAGGGGAACAGAATTACAAAATAAAACAGGAACCAAAAGTGACAACCATGACAGTACCCCCCTTCCAAGGGACAGCTTCCATGATGTCCCAAAGAACGAGTCCAGGATTGTGGAGGAGGGAAGCCAAAGGATTCCTGCTGTGGTTGCAAAACAGGCGGCACATTAGCAATCCAGTCCAGTGTTGACCTCCCACAAGGCCAGGGGAACAAGGGACCACCCCGAACGGAAAACCATGATCGGCAATGGCTCAGAGACATGAAGGAGGACAGAAGAGCTCCCCAGACGGAGATCTAGGTCTGGCGGAGGCTCCAGGGAAGGTGTAGTGGGAGGTCCCCATGGGCAGAAGGCATGGGTGAAACAAACCACCTGGTATCTATGGCAGACAGATACGTGGCTACTTCTGGTAGTCTCAAAGACTAGTTGGTGTCAAGCTGGAGCCCGATGTTGACCACAAACAAGGGTCTAGGAAACAGGACCATCCCGGGCGGAAATCAATGTCCGGCGATGGCTCAAACACGGAGACAGGACCACCCCAGACGGAGAAACTTGCCTGGCGGTGGCTTCAGGAAACAGAGGGTCAGCACCGGGCAGCAGACTCACAAGGCACTAGTGAACCAAGGACCAGGTTTAGAAAAAAAATATAAAAATAAAATGCAGTATGATGAGTCCAGGTGTGGTCAGTCCATTCTGTTACATGGTGGAAAGGAAGGCGGACCCAAAATTCAATACTGCAAAAAACACAATTTAATAACCAAGAATCCAAAAATCAAAAACTGTATAAACACAGGAACTGAAGACGAACCAAGAACAAACAATCAATGGACTGACAACAAGAGTGAAAGAGCACAAGGAATTTAACTGAGAGACACAGGTGAAACAAATCAGGGCAGGGTAGGCAATCAACAGAACAGGAAGTAAAACTCTAAAAAGACACAGGGGAACAGAATTACAAAATAAAACAGGAACCAAAAGTGACAACCATGACAAGTATACATGCAGACTCAGACCTCTCTTGTCTCAGTATACATGCAGACTCGGACCTCTCTTGTCTCAGTATACATGCAGACTCGGACCACTCTTGTCTCAGTATACATGCAGACTCAGACCACTCTTGTCTCAGTATACATGCAGACTCAGACCTCTCTTGTCTCAGTATACATGCAGACTCGGACCACTCTTGTCTCAGTATACATGCAGACTCAGACCTCTCCTGTCTCAGTATACATGCAGACTCGGACCACTCTTGTCTCAGTATACATGCAGACTCAGACCACTCTTGTCTCAGTATACATGCAGACTCGGACCACTCTTGTCTCAGTATACATGCAGACTCAGACCACTCTTGTCTCAGTATACATGCAGACTCAGACCACTCTTGTCTCAGTATACATGCAGACTCAGACCACTCTTGTCTCAGTATACATGCAGACTCAGACCTCTCTTGTCTCAGTATACATGCAGACTCGGACCACTCTTGTCTCAGTATACATGCAGACTCGGACCACTCTTGTCTCAGTATACATGCAGACTCGGACCACTCTTGTCTCAGTATACATGCAGACTCGGACCACTCTTGTCTCAGTATACATGCAGACTCGGACCACTCTTGTCTCAGTATACATGCAGACTCGGACCACTCTTGTTTCAGTATACATGCAGACTCGGACCACTCTTGTCTCAGTATACATGCAGACTCGGACCACTCTTGTCTCAGTATACATGCAGACTCGGACCACTCTTGTTTCAGTATACATGCAGACTCGGACCACTCTTGTCTCAGTATACATGCAGACTCGGACCACTCTTGTCTCAGTATACATGCAGACTCAGACCACTCTTGTCTCAGTACACATGCAGACTCAGACCACTCTTGTCTCAGTATACATGCAGACTCAGACCTCTCTTGTCTCAGTATACATGCAGACTCGGACCACTCTTGTCTCAGTATACATGCAGACTCGGACCACTCTTGTCTCAGTATACATGCAGACTCGGACCACTCTTGTCTCAGTATGCATGCAGACTCGGACCACTCTTGTCTCAGTATACATGCAGACTCGGACCACTCTTGTTTCAGTATACATGCAGACTCGGACCACTCTTGTCTCAGTATACATGCAGACTCGGACCACTCTTGTCTCAGTATACATGCAGACTCGGACCACTCTTGTTTCAGTATACATGCAGACTCGGACCACTCTTGTATACATGCAAGCTCGGACCTCTCTTGTCTCAGTGTAGGCACACACTCTTGTTTCATGCCTTTCCAAAATATCTTCCTTATTGCAAGACACAGCTTTGCTATAAACTGATTTTAATTAATGACATAAAGTGTAACTTCTTGTTAATATAATTGAATTCAAAGTGAGTGCTAATATATTCCGGCTCTAACTGCAGCACAATGTGTACCACTCCAAGGTCGTATTAAGATCTACGCCGGTCTTTGGCTCCACTCAGTGCTATTTTCTGGGGACGTGTGAAAAAATAGTGAAATGGCCTTACCTCGAATGACACTTCATACAAATAGTTTTTGATTTGCCCTGACTTTCCAACATCCACAATAGAAACAGCAAGTTTTTAAATCCAACAGCGTGTGTAAGTAAAACAAGAATTATTGATGCTTTGAATAGAGTATGAATTAAAGAAGGAATATTATGCATAATTTTTCAAACTTTTAAAGACTTTTGAGACCTAAGAAACGATTTACTTTCTTATTTCATGTTTTAGAATAATATCTATAGTAGAAATTGTATGGTGAAACACACACAGTATGAAGGATAAATGCTTCCACTAGACTAATATTAAATTCAACTATCCTGATATTAGTATGGATGGAGTAGGTCTGTATTTATTTGGGAACAAAATTGGAATAGATTTTGAGTAATAAGTCTTTAAATTATAACAGTGTTGATTTAGTGCGGATTCTGATTATTTATTGTTGTGTGCAATGAATGAGTTCCATTTATGCTTTTTTCCTCTGTGTGAGTGTGAGTGTAAGCATGTGTTAATTCGGTCACATAATCACATCAAAAGCTTTTTAAAGGTCATCTCACCTGAAGGCCTCGATGAGCCTCTCCACCTTCTGGGCCTCCCCCTGGACCCGCACGTGGGCCTGGAACTTGCGGAGCGCCTCATCCAGTTCCATGCCTGAGAAGTCCATCTCATCCACCACACAGCTGCGGGTTTAAGCAAAACTCTATAAATATGACATTTGAGCTATTGATGATACAGATAGATGTTATGTCTATTATTTATGTATGTAATGTCCGTTAATTATGTAATCTTCAAATAATTGGCATCAGTGTCTTTCAGCATGAGTTTATTCACTTATGTTGCATGAATACTGATGCCAACCCTGATTTTAGCGTTTTTACTTTTGCAAGCCACTGTATTTGTGTTTGCCATAGTGCACATCATGTCCCTGGTGCTAGTCTGAACTCTTGGTACAAAAAAAGGATTCCTTTTGAAAAGGGTTGTACCACTTTGCACAGATGGCACACAAACATATCCAGCCATTTTTATTGTGGACCTGTTACAAATGGCTCGATGCCTACATTCAAGAATGGACTATCCCAATGAAAAGCAGATAGTTAGTGCTGCGTGCATGTGTGTGTGTGTGTGTGTGTGCGTGAGTGTGGGCGTGTGGTGGAACTACACACTTTTGCGCATTAGTTTTAAAACAACAACTACTATGATAAAAGAATATGTATGTGTGTGGGCCTCTATGTCCTCCAGTAACGTCCCTAATAATATTATGCATGATTTAATGCCCCAACGTTATAAACACATTCAGTTCTTCAATCATTCTGCAGCCGCCTGATTAACTGTTGAATCATGTATGCTAACCTTCAGAGATGCTTGTCTGTCCAGTCTAAAAATAAAAAGCCTGTGCGTGAGTCGTCACATATGCAGTTACAACAAATCACAAGTGTCCAGTCCTTATGGCAGCTCTCCCGTCTGCTCCTACCTCCATCCCCCAAAGCACTGACCTGGATGTCACACATGGACTCTGCATGTGTGATGCAGAGGGAGGGAAGAGGAGCAGAGGAGGAGGGTGAGAGGAGTACAAGAGGGAGATGAGAGGAGCAGAGGATTAGGGTGAGAGGAGTACAAGAGGAGGGGAGAGGAAAAGAAGAGGAGGGTGAGCGGAGTACAAGAGGGAGGTGAGAGGAGCAGAGGAGAGAAGCAGAAGATGAGGGTGAGAGGAGCAGAAGAGGCTGCATGAACTGAATAATGAGACTGGCGTGAGAAAGCCAGCGACTACTACACATGTGTAGAGGGGGGAGAAGAGAGGAGCAGTGGGGACAGTGAGGAAGGAAGAGCAGAGGGGAGAGCAGAGAGAGAAGCATTGGTGAGAATAAGGACGGAGGAGTAGAGAGGAGCAGAGAGGAGAGGGAGGTCAACCATGGGTCATTTTACCTACTCAACGGCATCCATTACCTGTGGTGTACCGCAATGTTCTACTTTAAGTCCACTTATATTCACACCCAAGGAGCCACCATATCTTTCCCCTGCTATGTGGGCGACATACATCTCCCACTGAGACCAAACGACCCCAGAAGTCTGGCTGCTGAGGTAGACTGTTTAAATGAAATGAATAGTTGAATCCTCATCAACCCACCCCAATCAATCACTCACCTTGGCCCCCTATCATCAAACATTACTCCATTCACTCGCAACCTCGGTGTCATCTTCAACTCTCATCTCACCCTCCACAATCACGTCAAACAAACCAGCTAATCGTGTTCTGCACCATCTCAAACATTAGAAACATTCTCACTCTTACTGATCTCCATTAAGGGTATTAATGCGATCAATGCCCTCCTCACATCAATACCCCTCAGTCTAGTGTTAGACTTTGTTTCAGACTTTGTCCATACAGTATTTTGTCCATACTGTATAAATCTTTCTCTATTAAGATGAAGTCTATACCGTAAGAATGTGTGTGTGTGTGTGTGTGTGTGTTTGTGTGTGAATGAATATATCAGAAGAATCCATCCCCAGTTCAGTTATGGCCCATTGTGCTGTTGTACTCCCAATATCAAAGCAAAACATGGTGCTGTATTTACATCTGGCTAATGGCATACGCAGTGTCGGTGTCTATGATAATCCGTCTATTGGTGCTGGCAGAAGGCAGTCGTGGAGTATCAAGCAGATTACCCCTTTAAAACAAGTTCATTTGGTTTGAGTGCTGGTTGATCTGTTGGTGCTGTTTTAAATTAGATTAAATTAGATGAGATGATCTTGTGCATCATGTCTGCCACAGTGATGAGAGTGACTGTTCGTAGGAACTTGACATCAAGTCTTTAAGCATAAATGTAAAACAAGAGATGAATATGAATAAACTCTGCTGAGTACCTACTACGCATCCTTCAAAATAATAATTTTCTTTTCATCATAAAAAACTATTTATTTATTATTTATTCACAAGGCCTTTATACAAGCAGACTTGTGTTTATTTGAGAGTGGTTGAAAAGCTACGGTGCAACTGGGGCAACAATGGAAAATGGAGGTGTGTTGTTTATTCACCATGAGGAAGACAGGTAAAAAACAAATCTTCCAACTTTCAAAATAAGTCTTCTAAAGTTTCAGTGCACCTGGGTCCAGTGGGAATCTTATTATAATGTACTACGGCATGATCATCATCATTTTTTACAAGAACAACTTCATAAAGGTAAGACCAGCGTGTGAACAAGCCAAACTCTGGTAATAAGCTTCACTCACACAAACCCGGCTCCACGGCTCGTTACGTTGCCGTTATCCAAAGTATAGTCCCTTGTGTGACTTGTACGTTCTTCACCCACATGAAAGCCATGGCCTAAAAAACCATTTGCTTATACTGCGATCTAAATTAACACTGTATTTGGTCGTAGGCAAGTCGTTTCAACCCACCAGCTCGTGTTGCGTCATGTTTTTGATCAGTGTGAATGACACTCAACCATGCTGCTCCTCTATAATGTCCTTTTCCTCTTCATCCAAGTGCTTTTGTTCCCCCCATGTGCATGTCCAAACACTGGCATCTATGTCCAGGCATAACATTTTCACAGAACCTGCACCGCCAGTAAGTAAGTCATCTTTATTTATCCTTTCACAGAGCTGCGTCACAAACTGCTTCACAATCGTTGGCCTGGAGGAGGAATTGAACCCAGAGCCTTCTTGCTGTGAGGTGCAAGCGCTAACCACTGCACCCAGAGCTTGCCTCCACACGTCTAAGCCTGCAGTTCCAGTGTGGCTTTAGTATGGAGCGTTCTGGAGTTGGTTCCATAGTTTTTCCAGGTCACCAGCAGCAGTCACATCAGTGAAAACATCAACACGCGTGGGTACTATCCCTCAGCAAAGTCGTGTCGAGTCCGCACGTGTTATGGAGGTGCATTCAGGGGGCAAGAGCACGATAAAAGGACGGGAAATTAACATTAGTGAGGTCATGGTTGCTAAACAAAAGAGTACAATAGGATCATGGGCTCAGAGGGCTACTACAGATGAGAGCAGTCTCCCTGGTGAGGGCTGCGTCGTCACATACAGAAGGACAAGCTTCTGTTTGGTGTGATAGTGAGTGAGACATGGTGATACAGCGCCTGTCTGCCGGTTTCATGGTTTCCGCAACCATTTCCATCACCTTTTGAGTAGCTATATCTACTTGAGGCTTGGAACTGAAATCAATCTCTTTGGTTTATGTCACTTGGTTTTAAGCACTTTAACCATCAAACTGCATCTCAACCATTTGGTAAAGGCCTTTAATGAAAATGAAATTAAACCAGGGGAAGAAAAGAAAACATAAACACCAATTATGTGATTTAGTGTCCTATATCTTGGAAAAGAAGAAATTGCATTTCTTTCTTCAAGGAATGAACATTAAAGGGTTAAGCCATGTTTATTTTGTATAGCTCAAGACGTATGCATATTAATTCCTGGTGCTGATTAGGGTTGTCAAAAGCACTGAGTAATAAAACTATGATCGAAACTCTATACTAATTTGACACTAATAATAATTAAATAACAGGATAACTTTTGATATTCCGTGAGCAATTATTAATACTTTTTAAACAATATCAGAAGAACCTGTAGAAACCATATGGCCCCATACAATTTATCATTTTCAATTTGGAGACAAAAAGAGCATTTATATGTAATTACCATAGTCATTATCATCGAGCATGAGTGTGTTGAAAAAGGTTTGTCTCTATATCTGTATATACTTATTAAAATGAAATACAATATAGTTATTTTATTTAATACTATCAATGTTTTATTTGAAAAAAAATTCCCAATGCTTTTTCCCCTTTGTCTTGGTATCGAGTATTGAGAATTGTTTGTATGGAAATAGTTACAAAGCTTGCCAATGGGGATTCAGATTCGGATTCAGACTACTGTATTTATATCACCAGGGGCAATTCATTTGAGCAGCACAGGGCTTAAAAAAAAAACAGATAAAAACACAGGAAATGTCAGACAGCAACACAAGCGATATGATATGAAGCAGAGCCCATGCAAACATATAAACATAATACAACAATAAGTCCGGGTTGCAGGAGGAAGTTAGATGCAGTCAGCCATCTACAAACTCTCACTGTTCAAAAATGAGCTTAATTATCAAAATAGGCAGTAAACACTGAACATTCCTCGGTATAGATACGTCATATGTCTTTTGTTGTGTGTTGGTCAGAAAGTGAAGGTAAATTTGGCCATTTTTCATCAGCCAGACCTGATTCATGGCCCTTGCACTAGCATGAAATTACACTACTCACTACAAGAGCATTAAACTGGCCCTTCAGAGAACAACAACACATAACAATATGCCATCAATAAGACATCAGAACATCTCATTTGAAATGCATTATAGTGAAATGCATCATAGTGAGCAGCCAACAGTGTGAGTGTTTATGTAAAGTGAAAGAGGACCTACTCGAGTACATCTCTGTTGAACTGCAGCTTTGCGTTGCCCAGAAACTCTCCGATCATCTGCCGGCTCAGGCCTTTCCTCTGCAGCAGGAAGTGAGCCACTCCGATAGCCGTGTCTGGGACAAAGCCACGTGTGATCAGGAAGTGGATGCCCCGCTCGGGATTTCTGCAGGAAAAAAAATTCATTAATACACTCTATTTTTGGTCAAAAAATGTATACAGTTGTGTGTGAAAGTTTCCACATCCACATTAAATATATACATGTGAATAACACAGATTCAGACACAGTATTTACAGATTATTTTCCAGAATTGTAAAGGGAATAGCTTGGAGTCATTAGGGGTTAATAAAAATATCCTCCTCCTCCATTACTAACATGATTTGATGGAGATCTGATATCTTGGAATCGTCCCTTGCCTTTATGCACTTGCTTTCAGTGATCGGTCATTTGTAGCTAGGGTTTAAATGAGGTTAGGCATGAATCACTCTAACAGCAAATATAAAATTATAACGTGATGAAAAGCTTTTGATATGCTCAGTAGGTCATCTTGAAATAATTTACTCAATTAGGTGGACGAAACTTGAGAATTGAAGTGAAGTAGAGCAGACGCGGCTGCCATAGAGTGATGTATGGAGCTGGAATACAGTGTGGCAGGAGACACATGGAGCGCTGGGGATGGCTGCATGTCAGCTCGACTCATCAGTTCAAACAAGAAATATATGCACTAGTTTTGGCCCTTACACATGATGATGAGACTACTTTGCCATCAAAACGTATAAAAGTAGATCCTGTGCATATAATTCCCCACTCGCACCTAAAAAAATCATTTCGAAGTAATGCTTTTTTTTTCTCAAAAGGTGACTCATGACGCCACAGTATAAGGATCCACCAGGTTTGAGATAAGACCAGGGGAAAATCTATTCTCCAAAGGGCTGCACAGAGATATTGTGGAGCACTGGACTTTTTACACCGGGTTAATCTTTAATTTAATTTGGGAAAAATTTTTTACTGCTTCGGTTCTTGTTGAGAGACACGTTTTCAGTGGTGTAAAATTAAAATACCAGCCAAAGACAAATTCAATGCAATATACAAAATAAAATGCAAACCATGCAACAACAAAAAGACATACAGCAGAAAACATGCGCTTTCCAAACAATAAAGAAGACTCACAAGGACAATAAAGGACCACCAAACATGGCGGAGCCTTCCACACATGGGCTTCCCTCCTCCTCAGACCAGTGGGTGGCGTGGACAGTCTGAACCACCTGTTACGACTAATTCAGGAAGTAACATCAGCCTGACCACGCCTACTCAGCTGATAAATGACACTTCACCAAAGCCGAAGGAAGCGGGTGTCACCCATCTTCATGCATCTCCTTCATATAACTTATAATTTTAAGTATTTTCTCTTATCAACTCATTATTTTCGTCTGTCCAGGATAAAGAGCGTTGACTGAAAGCTAGGGTACCTATTTTTGTTCATAAATAATACATTTTGTTTTTGTCCCAAGAGAAGATTTTTTTTTTTGAACAAATCAGCCCACAACTTGCTGTGTTCATCTCATATCCTGCATACTAGTGAAAAAGAGTTCTGTAAATTAATATTTCCTTTTTTTTGTCTGAAAAGCTGAAGATGAGGCCAATAATACACGCTAGTGATCTCTGAGGAACACAGGGACTGGCCTCCTGCTAGTGCCCAGAGTCAGAACTAAGCATGAGGAAACTGCGTTTCAGATTCACGCAGATAAAATCTTGAACAGTCTTCTTCTCTGAAAATGTTCAAATCAAGGTTAAAAACAGTTCTGTTTAGCTGCAACAACTGAGGGATTTTATCTTCACTCTTTTTAATGCTCTGTGATTATTTATTATTTGAAGGCCTTGTGTGACTGTCTATCATGTTTTGTTCAGCACTTTGAGTATGAATTGTGCTATACAAATACAGTTGCCTTGATACAAACTGTTTTTAGACAAAACATGGTTTCATATGGATTTTATTACATAATTCAATTGTTTTTGGTTTTAAAATTAGGCACCCCAATTTTAATTTCTTGCAGTGAAAAATATTGCATCTATGTTGTGATGGTACATAGTGCTTTTCCTGGTTGTGTTGGTTTTTGTGGGTATGTGGCAGGCAGCACGCCCCATGCAGAGCAGCTGCTGCAGTGCAGTGTGAGTAGGAGCAGGATGATCTGTTGACAGCATCAGGAGGCTTCACTTTTACGAGCACTCTGCTTTTTATGCAGAGATGGGACTTTTCAGGTGGAAACTTTAAATGTTTAAATGGTAGAAACAAAAGCATAGTTTTGTATACAGACAAGAAATCACCAATGGCAGAATAAATGAACAAATCATAACCAAATCTTTATACATGCATCACCCTCTTTCCTCCACCTCTTTTTCAATCTGAAGACAGATTCATATTTGAACATGTTTTTAATTCATAGTTTAGTTCAGTTTAGTTGATGTATTTAAGATGACAGGGAAAGTGTACAATAAACTAAGGCTGTCAAAATTATTGCATTAATGCACGTTAATAAAAAAATGCATTAATCGCGTTAAAAAATTGTACGCATTTGATGCATGTGCTGAATGACCTGCCCATGAATCCCATAATAACTACGGCGCCGCCATAACGTGATCATATCCAAGACCATACACGCACACAGAACTATTCTCTGCTTGTTGTGTGCGTACAGTATCTGTGCGTAACCTGTGCATGCAATAAATACGCCACTGAAGCTCCTCCATGTCTCCTCCCAAAGCTAAACTCTCTAAATTAAAGCTCGGTCACCTAATTTCCCTTCCAATACCAATTCATGTTGGTTGTGCCCAAAAGTAAAATGAGCAAATCAAACAGATTTAATAACATTATGCATTTCAGACTGTTTTGAAATGTCCCCCATCCCTGTAACAAACAACAGTTTTGGTCTGTGTCCACTACAGAAAAACAGAATGTTAATAATGTTAATGCCATTTCATGTGGATTTATTGTTGTTATATTAAAAAAATACAACACAAATGTACACTATGTTGTCATCTATCTTTCCATTCAAACAACAATTTACAGAACAATATTGCATAATTTTGCGATGAATTATGATTAATTAATTTTTAAGCTGTAATTAACTCGATTAAAAATTGTAATCGTTTGGCAGCCCTACAAGTCCCTGGGCAGGCTGATGTTAAGATGTTAAATAAAACATTAAAATGACACAGTTTACATTGGCCAAAATACATAAAAGATCAGGTCTTCACATGTCCGATTTGATAAAATCTCGCATTCATATTGCTCAAATATACAGGTTAAACACATACAGTGCCTTGCGAAAGTATTCGGCCCCCTTGAACCATTCAACATTTCGCCACATTTCAGGCTTCAAACATAAAGATATAAAATTGAATTTTTTTGTCATGAATCAACAACAAGTGGGACACAATCGTGAAGTGGAATGAAATTTTTGGATAATTTAAACTTTTTTAACAAATAAAAAACTGAAAAGTGGGGCGTGCAATATTATTCGGCCCCTTTACTTTCAGTGCAGCAAACTCACTCCAGAAGTTCAGTGAGGATCTTTGAATGATCCAATGTTGTCCTAAATGACTGATGATGATAAATAGATGGGGATGGTGTGTTCAGGGTGATGAGCTGTGTTGCTTTTACGCCAAACATATCGTTTTGCATTGTGGCCAAAAAGTTCGATTTTGGTTTCATCTGACCAGAGCACCTTCTTCCACATGTTTGGTGTGTCTCCCAGGTGGCTAGTGGCAAACTTTAATCGAGACTTTTTATGGATATCTTTGAGAAATGGCTTTCTTCTTGCCACTCTTCCATAAAGGCCAGATTTGTGCAGTGCACGACTGATTGTTGTCCACAGACTCTCCCACCTCAGCTGTAGTTATCTGCAGTTCATCCAGAGTGATCATGGGCCTCTTGGCTGCATCTCTGATCAGTCTTCTCCTTGTTTGAGATGAAAGTTTGGAGGGACGGCCGGGTCTTGGTAGATTTGCAGTGGTCTGATACTCCTACCATTTCAATATAATTGCTTGCACAGTGCTCCTTGAGATGTTTAAAGCTTGGGAAATCTTTTTGTATCCAAATCCGGCTTTAAACTTCTCCACAACAGTATCTCGGACCTGCCTGGTGTGTTCCTTTGTCTTCATGGTTCTCTCTGCGCTTTAAACAGAACCCTGAGACTATCAAAGAGCAGGTGCATTTATACGGAGACTTGATTACACACAGGTGCATTCTATTTATCATCATCAGTCATTTAGGACAACATTGGATCATTCAAAGATCCTCACTGAACTTCTGGAGTGAGTTTGCTGCACTGAAAGTAAAGGGGCCGAATAATATTGCATGCCACTTTTCAGTTTTTTATTTGTTAAAAAAGTTTAAATTATCCAATACATTTCGTTCCACTTCATGATTGTGTCCCACTTGTTGCTGATTCATGACAAAAAATACATTTTTTATATCTTTATGTTTGAAGCCTGAAATGTGGCGAAATGTTGAAAGGTTCAAGGGCGCCGAATACTTTCGCAAGGCACTGTCTATACACACACAAAGCACACACTCTCTCTCTCACATGCACGCACATACACACACACACACACACATACGGTCTCTCACACATACACTCACACAGACACACACACTACACAAGTTGGTGATAATAATTGTAATAATAATAATAATTATAGTAATAATTGTTGTTGGAGATGGACAGATGATAGGAAGTGCTACAAGTGGACCAGGAGACCAGACCACAAATCTCAGCTTATCCATAAAAAGAAGATAGAGTAAAGTCACTCACACATTGAAGAGGTTGAGTCCAATACGGTAGAGGCGTTTGCGGTGCGTGTCCGTGGACAGTGTGGGCGAGCGACACAGAGCAGGGTCCTGACAACGATCTCGGGGCACGGACACAACCAGAGCCTGCAGAGACTCCGGACTGGGGCCCCCAGGAGCCTGCGACGGGTGGCTGTAATGGTACTGCTGGTACTGAGTGTAGATGTGAGAGGGCTGGTTGGACTGTGTCCCGGTGGAGATTGCTGTGGAGGTAGAAGTACCGGTGGAGCCCAACTCTTCTGACCCCAATGCTCCTCCGGGCAGAGGCACAGCAGAGCCCCTTCTGGACCCGGGGTCACCCATTTCCAACTCCTCACTTGGTGGAGGCGCCGGGAAGTCGTCTTCATCCAGCCCGCTCACAGAGGTCTTCCTGCTGCCTGGAGCTGCTCCCCCGGCTGTGCCCAGGGAGGTGGTGGTGGTGGTGGTAGCGGAGGAGATGGTGTAAGAGCTGTTGGTGTCTATGTGAACCGTGACGTCTCTGAAGGCCATGAGCAGGGAGCTGGCGCTGCGAGGTATGGCCGCGCTCTCGGCCGCCACACGCAGGGCCCCGGGGTCCATGAGCAGCTTGCCCTCTCCAGCTTCTCCAGACAAGCTCCAGCCTCGCAGGGCTTCGTCAATGGACTGAGCCAGGGAGTGCAGCTGCAACACACAACCAGGATCAACACACGCACTGGCACTTTGCACACCAGCAAGACACGTCCATTACATTTAAAGTATTTACTAGGATCTCTGGCTTCTGCAGATATGGTTGATATAAAAATAAAGAAGGATAAACAAAAAAAGCAATGGCACTGTATTGCACAACACCCTGTTTTGAATACACCTCAGACACATAAACCAAGGGTTTAACTCTACAAGGAAAGACATGGGTACAATTAAATGAGGGATCTGATCAAGTAATAATAGAGCATTGCCCTATTCTTAACAAAGAAACTATTGTTCATTATTGTAGTTTTACTTTCTGACATTTTGGTTATTATTATTTTAAATTTTGATGCGTAACAATGTATTTATGCTTGGAATACTGGCTTGTGTGGAACCATCAATGTGATGCAGCTTTGAGGGGCAGAGCACAGAATATTGAATATTCAGCTGAATATTTAATCATACATTATAGCAGAATCCTGGGAAGCCTGCTTCAATGACATCATCAGAGAAGTCACGATGCACGTTTATTGGTCACATCTCCATTCCCTTCCGCCTCTCCGCAGCTTGGGAGTAGCTGTTGCACTTGTTGCTAGGTGATTGTTCTACTTCTCAGAGCTACACTCACCTCCTGGTGGTGCTAAATATAATCACTTTGCTCTAATGTTTGAAGAAGTTCACAATTTCTTTCTCTACAGTTATTTTACCAGACAACAAATGGTGACCCAGTTGAAAGACAAAGTAATGAAACAGCTGGAAGATGATCCATGTTATGTGCCCTTGTAAACATATGTGTGTGCAGTTTGTATTTATGGAAGAATAATCATGTTATATACAACTTTATCTACATGTGGAATGTCCTGAAATTGTTGAACACTTTCACAGTCTTTTGTTTGTTTTATTCCTAAGTGCATTAGACTATGGCCTACTATCAATTAAATAGTAAGTGCAAATTTGAACTGAAAAGGTTTGAGATTGAATTGGAGCTTTTTGAAGCTTTTCTTAATCTTTCAAATTTCCGTAGTTTCATTAAAATACACTTTATTTACTGTATATAGCCAACTTCATCATTTCATTTCTAATCATTTCAAATCATGTCATCATTTGCACAGGAGTAGGCAATAAAAAATAAAACAAACAAAACAGCAGACCATACAAATAAAATGCCCATTCTGACTTCACTGGTTTGATGTTTTAAACCAGATAAGAGGAAACTTCTATTCCCACTATTGCGTCACACGTTTGGTCCTGGCCCGTCCTGACATGAGCTGACAGAACGAGCGAGCGGAGCCTTCTTTACAGATGCTTTTCTGCACAGATGGTGCCTGTATATGCAACACAGAAGTGCACTCTGCTTTCTTTGCTGATGTCAAGTCTCTCTCCATGTCGCTTGTGTGCAAAGAGCGAGTCTTGAAAAAAAAATACATGAATAAGTTGTATTGTAACAATGTTTTAAGAATCTGTACAAACTGAGTCACAACTTCTAACCTTATTCTTCATTTTAGAGATTTTAGTAGTTTGGACTAGTGCCAAAACATCTCCAAATAGAAAAGGTTTTTTTTGTTAAGTAAAGTATTTTGTGCAGTGTTTGTGGTTTAGTTCTATCTAACATAATAGTTTGCTCCAATATTAGGGGATAAAGGAGGATAAAATTCTCCAATGTCCAACAATAGTGAACTGAGGAACGGTCTCTCTCCAGTTCTGCATGTTGTGTAACTAATCAGTAAATAAATCATTAGTCAATTAATGAATAACAATACATCGTACGCATGTTTTCATTTTTGATAGTTTCTCAAATTAAAGCATTTATCAATCAAAGTTTAGTCCAGTTCTACGCTGTTATAATAATAAGTTTTATGTGATATCGACTTTGAAACCCAAACTCTTGATGAAAATACCCCTTAAGCTGGGATACTGTCAACACAGTTTGGTATACAGTTGGGTTCTAGAAAAAGCGGAAAGGAAAGGATCACCCTCACTCAGCCAATTATCTCTTAACCCAAAGAGTCAAATAGTGACTCTATCTTACAAATATGCAACAAATGACAAATTGTATGTTATGCATGTTATATAATAAGATAACTTGTTATACTTAAACAAGACTCTTTCTGTTGGACTAGCTACATGGATTATTTATGACGCAGAAAAATTTTGGTCAGCTAAAATGAGTTTGAGACCGCTACAAAAGAGAAAGGGACATCTGTGTGCTGGTTTGTTGTGGATATAGCAAAAAACAACTGTAGAGGAGGATTTTGCATCACACCCTATGTATCCTTACCTGTTCAGAGAAGCAGTCCTCCAGCTGGGTGAGCGAGGGCCCGGGAGTCTGTGGTGGGGGCTGTGCGGTTGCTGAGCTGGGTGGGGCGCTGGGGGCCGAGGCGGGGGAGGGGGGCAGAGAGGTAGAGCGACAGGGCGGAGGGGGAGGGGTCTTGGAGCGTAGAGGCACCTGGGCCGGTCCCGGGTGCAGGTTGTAGCTGTGCCTTTGGGTGGAGTTTCGGCTGCGGCCCGAAGGACTGGGCTGGCGCAGGGAAATGCGGCGCGGAAGCTTACTCTCTGACAGCGAGTTGCGGATCTTTTGAAAGTTTTTGCTGAGCTGGTACTGTCGGAACGCCATCTGGATGCGGCAGGCAGCACGACGGGCCAGAAGGTGACCGCCGTACTTGAGCTCCAGTTCTTCTATCTGAGCAGAAATGGAGAGAGCAATATTGTATTTTATGATAAATAAGTAAATGTTTATTTCATAATCCAATTTTACAGAAATAGCAGACAAACTTCTAAATCATCATTTCCATACAGAAACAAGACGGTTTGGGGGAAAAAAGATAGAAATGTGAGATTTCATAACACTTTGAAGCAACTATTGTTAAAGTTCAAACTCATCCTTATAACATTTGCACGAGCCAGTACTTGTCCCTTGTTTTGACTTCTGAAGGCCAAGCAACATGGCACCGTGGAAGCTGCTGAGAGGACTACATTCCTCCATGCTGTATAATACACTTGCATTCTGTCGTGTTTATGTTCGTGCTGTCTCTACCATTGACAATAAAACACGTCTTCTGTCTGAATGAAAGACACGATCCCAGACTTTGTCATCTTCTTAAGAAGGCAATAGAGGAGAAAAGTAACACAATACAATATCATATGGAGAATAAAAGACAACCCATGCAGACACACACATACACATACACACACACACATACACGTTTTTGTTACCTGGTGGGTCCCTTTGACAGGGCCGTTCAGAATGGGACCCATAGACATAATCTTTTTTTACCAAGACTTTAAGTAATACAAAACAGTCAATAGAAACCAAACAACTATTTTAAAGGAATTTTATTTTAGATTTTGTTTTCGAATTGCAGTGATTCTATTTTTGACATAGAATTTAATGCCACTCCATGTCCGATGTCTAAGGTCATCTGGTGAGGCATTAATGCAGGCCAGGCAGTGAGACTTCCCAGGGACCTTTCCAGTCTGTATGAAAGGTGTCATGGTCTTCTCCACAGCCTTCACCTCAGATGCAGACCATGGCTTTCTTACACGTTCTAGGGAGAGAAATAAAAATATATTAGCAATATACACTCCCAGGGTGAGGACCAAGCAGCCTGGCTGTAATCCCCCACCTGGTACACTTACCAGAAGGGGCACTGCCACTACCATGGGGTGCATCTGGATGAATGGTTGAAGGTTCTCCGCTTGAAGTTTCTTTTAGCCCGTCCGTTTGTGAGAGGATCTCTACTGCTCTCCCTGTCGCACAGAAAATAAAAATACAAGTGGCCTTTAGGGGAAAAAAATCATACATATTTTAATAATATCAAGAATTACCTTCAGGCTCAATTTGTATCTGGTCGAGGCTCTTTCCTTCGAATTCCGTCACTCTTCCCTGCTCCATGGCCATCAACACTTTGCTGATTTTGGCCAGCTCCAGTGTCCCCTCTGGTAGTCTGTAATATTGCCTGTGGATGCGAATGTCATGGCCGAGGAAGTTGGCAAGTATGTCCATCTCATTCTCTTTCATATTGAGAACTGTAGACATAGTAGCTATGTGCTTTCTAAGTTTGGTTGAGGATAGCATCTCTGGATGCACCGCACCACATTCTTTGGCTACCTGGCGTAGGGAGTCTGATCCCCTGATGTGGGTGTCTGCGCCCGGGCGGGAAAAGAAGTATGGGTTATGGTCAGAGATGGAACAGGCCCTTCTGTTCTCCACCAGCACCTCCATCGAAGCAATCATTTCAGGAGTCAAAAGAACCGGCACTTTCCGACTTCTTTTCCCTTTAATTTCAATGCGTTGAAAATGCTGACACAGCTTTTTCTCAAGTTGGGACAGTCCCAGAGCAATGTCAGAATGGATCCCAGTCTTACTTCTTAAGGTAAAGGCTGTCAGTGGCATCTTTGAAACCTCACCTTCCCTTCTTCGATTGAAAATGATGACCTCACAAAGAGTCAAAACTGCCAGTTTAGACCAATGCTTAGACGTTGGCTCACTTATTAGGGTTTGCACATATTCAGGTCGACATACCTCAATATGTGCATGCATGGCTCTAACGTCCTCAGTCAGAGGGAGCAGGTCCGGAGTGTTCCACTTGGCTTGCCGGAGGGTCTGTAGGGCAGCAGAAGAAACACAGACGTCCCACCTCTTCTCAAAAAGCAGCCGGCTTCGTTGGAGGTTTTTAATAAATAGTTCATCAACACAATGCTCCATTTTTGAGTCACATTCAAGAATATCTGCTAGCTTTCTGAGGCTATGGCCGAGTTTGAGGGCCAAGGATGGAGTCTTGTATTGATTTGTTTCCTCATCATATCCAGCCACAGACCTGACTGCATCAATCACATGGTTAAAGTTGGAAGGAATAAAGAAATCCTTAATTGTTTTCAGTTTCCCTGCGGTTTTTGCTTCGTTAATTAACCTACCGACTTCTCTCATTTTCTGCCTAATGTAATCATGCTTTGTCTTATCATGCCCGTGTTTTAAGTACAGGTGCTCTCCGAGTCTCAGAATCCCCTTTTCTGCTTTGACAACACCCGTGACCTCATCCTGATGCATTGCCGAAATTAAAGACCACAGCTTTTTGCTGATGCCCTCCGGTACAGGCTGGGCTAGGGAGCAGAGGGACTGGACCCTACTTCTACCTGGTTTAGCCTGGGCATCTTTCTGTGAAAGCCGGCACCTGGCCACATGCCTCCACAGCGACTTTCGCTTAAGCAATGCCCCACAGTCTATACAGTGCAAAAACTCACTGGATTTAACTGGGCAATTTGGCTGTTTAGCTGGGACTAAAGTTCCAATGCCGGCCTTTAAAACCTCAAAATTGTGCTCACGGTTTCCACTATTCCTGATCAAATCAAACTGAAGTTTACGTGCTTTAGATTTCACAGGTAGAGCCAATGCTCTGGCTACGTCACTTTCATTTCCATGTTTTCTAGTCAAATGACGGGACATTTTGTGGCAGGACATTGAACAGTAGAGGCAGAAGTGTCTCTTGCTGTATACTCGCCCCCCATTTTTCTTCTTTTGCAGCTGCATGATAACAATCTTATTTGCCTTTGGTTCGTCACTTTCCGAGTCTTGAAGAAAAGTGTTTTTGATTTTTCTTTTTCCATACTTTTTTACAGGTTTCTTCTTGACAGTTAAATCGTCAGAATCTGAGTCGACTTCATCAATTAGGGACTCTTGACTAAGCTGCACAAACAACAAATAATTTGTAATCATTCTATATAACAATTTGAAGTCATGACTTGTAGTCAGCACTTACCAGTGGTTTGTAAGCGTGCGCTTCAGTGTGCTCCTCCATGATTTCTTGCAGCCTAATGAACCACACACTTGCACCTTTTTCTAGCCTGACACCTGATTTCCTCTGTTGTGCTGCTCCATGATTGGCTCCAGCCTGCTGGACTGAAATTGCCCCAGTGTGCCCCTCCTTGATATCCCGCAACCCACCACCAGGGTTCCGACACATAACACACTTTTTTCAGGAAAGTAAACCTCCAGGGGTCCTTTCCATATTTTTACAGAGACTGCATAAGGACCGTTAGAAAAGCATTACCCATTGATTATTAAGCTTGGACCAGTGGGGTCCGGTGTTCGGGCCCCACCACGTAAAACCAGTCCCCATGACGTGAGTGGAATCTCAGGTTATGGAACCCACCAGGAGTTGAAAACAAGTGCACACATACACCCACACACACACACTCACACACACACACGGACACACACAGGCCCAAACACTCTCTGACCTACTACTCGCTCTGTGCTGCAGGCATCATTCTCTCTCCTTCACGTACTTCTTCAGTATTTTTTATTTTATTTTTTGTTTCAATGCAATCAGGATTGTTAATCATTTGTGTAAATCGTCAATATCACATTGTATTGAAATTTCTAAACTAATGTACATTTCGATGATCTGGGAACTATATGCTGTGAGTGTCACTGAGGTCAGCTTGACATGGTCAACAGGCCACATGACCAATCTGCAAAAAATTATAAAAATACAACTATATTATATAAATACAACTACAATTGAGTGGTTTTTATCTTAATTTGAGAAGACAAAAGATGTCAGAATGTCAGATATTAAAACAGGATTTTCCAAAGGGACATAGCCGGCGTTTAGTCTTATTTTGGTAAAACTTTATAATAACTACACCATATTTAGGATTAATAAATGTTTAAATAACACTTAATTAATCATGAGCAATTAATTAATTAAGTGTGATTAACACTTAATAACTACTTGTGGCAGTGTGGAGCGCGTCTGCCCTCCCCTTACCTGTTTCATTGAAGCACCTCCTCACGCACCTGCCTGCCACTGATTGCAGGGGCAGGACCGAGTGTTTTTAGGCCAGAGCCTGATGGCGCTCACTCTTTTGCTATCTCCTGCGGGGAGTGACAGCCTCTCTGGGTCCGTGGAGTTGTGCTGGTGGGAAGCCTCACACAGCGGTTTGGCGCCCTGTTGGCACGCATGTGGGCTTGTGCGGTGTGAGCGCTGCCCTGGGAAACGCCTTCTGCTCTTTTTGGTGAGTGCGCATCATATCGCTCACACCTCCACTTGCTGCGCATTTGGCACTCACGCGCTTTTCTCCTGCTCCAGTGTGGCTATCTCCTCCAGTGTGGCAAACCTTAGTGAAGGGCCTGTGTGAGCCCGTTGTGCTTCTCAGCCGTTACTTGTGGGTAAGCATGGTGCCATCTTCCCTTTGACCCATTTGGCTGTCCCCAGTCACCCTAACAGCTCATTTTCATTTAGTTGGTGCGCAATTACGCACAGCGGAGGTTGAGCGCGTGCCTCCGTTCGGGGTCTGGGGGACCAGTGCTTTCTCTGATTGGTGAGTTGCCGTTATTGCCTGATGTATACCCAAATTCTAATCTTTAGTGGTCTAACCTCTGCTTCCCCGCACTTCAGCGGGACCGAGCTGCACCTCCCGCGGCAGTTTGGATAATACATAATTATCCATAATTATTATATACATATAATACATATAATTATCCATACATAATGAATACATCTTCAAGTACTTCACTTGAAGATGTGAGGTACTTGAAGATGATTATTTAATAATTTGATAATTATGAAGTAACCATTTGTTACGACATATATAGATGGTTTGTTACACCATGATTAAACCAAATGTTAAAGGCACACCGCGGACTTTGTGACCTAAAGAGTTGACACATATGAGTTA